TGAATCAACAGTCAGAGTAGTCATACTCATAAATACATGGTACACCATGTACCCTTACCAAAACCCTGAATGAGTGTTGATAATGTTGCGGTGTTTATAAATCAAATTTGGTTTGTTTAACATGACATCAACTAGTGTATGAAGAAATTTTCTGATAAAGTGACACACCATAGATGGATGTTTTAGCGTTGAATTATGGCAGGCATGAGAAAGTAAAAGCCGTACATGTGGGGGACACTTTCAACTGTCTAGGTGCTGGTTTGGATAGTGATTCTACTGTCCTCCTTTAATTTGACAACTAAGAGTAACTTTCCAATAAACAAAATGTAAAAATGTAAAATGCTGATCTACAGACTGGAAATTATCAATTTCAGTTGTCTCATCATTCTTTTCTTTATCCATCAGCTCCCGTTTCCCTCTTCCAATCCGTCCTTGGAAATCATCGCAGATCCCTTCGAAATTGGCATCAACATAGACCAAAGGAACGCACACAAACCAAAGGAAAAAGAAGATGAATTTTTTATTTAAATATTATAAATTTAAAAATAATTTCTTAAATTATAAATTTTTTAAAACTATTTTTTTATCTGGAGTAATTTGGTTAACGTAGCATATTATTTTGCCAAAACGGCTGACAAAAATATTTTTTTTTTAAAAAAAAATAAATTTCATCACCTAGAGTGCGAAATAACCAGATCATGACACGTGTAAGTATTTGGAAAATTTCACAATATTTATGATAAAATTAATAGGCAATTTCACTATAAATAGTGAAAAACTTTTAGATGGTGACACGTGTCACGATTTTAGTGAATTTCGCTATAAAAATTGCACAACTTACAGAAAGTTAAGAAGTGTCACGATTTTAACCCATTATGCAAATTAAATATATATTATTTTGATTTATTATAAAATTATAATCACATCATAATTAAATAAAATTCTAACAAAATTAACTAACATTATACCTAAAAATATTTTTTTATTTACATACTATTTTAAATTACATCTTAATTTAAAAAATTAAAATTATTAACAAAATTAAGCATAATAATTTTTATCAGTAGATATTCATTATAATTATATTAAAATTTAAAAAATATATTACTAACATAGAAGAAAATATTTTTAATATTTACATACAAATTATTACTATTTTAGTAATTTAATTTTTATTTTAAATGTGATCTTGTATATAAAAATAAAGTAGATTTTGTTTTATTATATTATTAAAATTAATAAAAAAATTATGTATTGTGATTACGTTATTAATTTGTATATAAATATAAAAAATATTTTTTAGTATTATATTAGTAATTTATTTATTTTAATTTCACTGTAATTATAATTAGTATCTACTAATAAAAACTGTTATGTTTAATTATGTTAGTAATTTTATTTTTTAATTAAGATATAATTTAAATTTGTATGCAAATAAAAAAATATTTTATAGTATTATGTTAGTTATTTTATTTTTATTTTAAATATGATCTGATTTGTATGTAAATTTAAATTAGATTTAGTTTGAATATGTTATTAAAATTAATGAAAGTAAATTATGTATTGTGATTACATTAATAATTTATATATAAATATAAGAAATATTTTCTGGTATTATGTTAGTAATTTATTTTTTAATTTCAATATAATTTAAATTTATATGTAAATAAAAAATATTTTATATTATTTTATGTTAGTAATTTTATTTTAATTTTAAATATGGTCATTATTTGTATGAAAATTTAAATTCGATATCAGTAAAATTAATGAAAGTAAATTATGCATTGTCATTACATTACATTAGTAATTTGTATGTAAATATAAAAATATTTGTTGTTATTACGTTACTAATTTATTTTTTTAATTTTAATATAATTATAATTAATATATACTGATAAAAAATATTATGCTTAACTATGTTAATAATTTTAATTTTTAAATTAAGATATAATTTAAAATAGTATGTAAATAAAAAAAATATTTTTAGGTATAATGTTAGTTAATTTTGTTAGAATTTTATTTAATTATGATGTGATTATAATTTTATAATAAAATAATATAATTTATATTTAATTTGCGTAATGAGTTAAAATCATGACACTTGTCAACTTTCGGTAAGTTGTGCAATTTTTATGGCGAAACTCACTAAGATCGTGACACGTGTCACCATCTAAGGTTTCTCATTTTTCATGACGAAATTCATTAAAATCGTGACACATGTTAGTTTCGCCATAAATATTGTAAAATTTTTTAGATGCTTACATGTGTTTTATTTCGCATTTTAAGTGGCAAAATTTGTTATTTTTTAAAAAAAAATTAATATTTTTGTCACCCATCTTGCCAAATAGCATGACATGTCAACTAAATCACTTCAAATAAAAAATTTTTTTTAAAAAGTCTATAATTTAAGAAATTATTTTTAAATTTATAACATTTAAATAAAAAAGTCAAAGAAGACTGAGAAGAAGATTGAGGCGAGAGATAGGAAGAATGAGAGTGTGGGAAAGCTAAAGAAAGAGGGAAAAAAAACTGGATAAAAAAAGAAAAAGATAAGAATGAATGACAAGGAAAGAGAGAAAAGTTAGATAAGGAAAGATAAAAAAAAAGATTAAGTAAGATTGAAGGAAGAAGAAATGGAGAAAAAGAATGAAGTTAGGTGAAAATAAAAGAGAGGATAGGGTGAAAAAGAGGAAATGAGAAAAGAGTGAAAAATAAAAAAAATAAAGAAAAAGAATGAAGTTGGATGGAAACAAAAGAGATAAAATAAAATAGGGTGAAAAAGAAGAGATGAGAAAAGAGTAAAGGAGAAAAAAAAAGTAAGATAAGAATAAAGAAAATTGCCGTATCAATTTCGCTTACGAAAAACTGTATACAGTTCTCGTATAATCTGCAGGATCCATTTCCTAACATTGAGGATTGCACATAATTGATGGACTTGCTTTGTTGATGTGGCTTTTGTTGTGGTGAAATGTGGTTGAATGGAACATACTCTCGTCTCGGGAATTTACATATTTGGCGCTGCCATCAGGTAAACCAGATGTAAAAAACAAAGCATATTGCTGAAACCAAAGATAAAAACGTGGTAGTGTCATGGATGATTAAGATGATGGAGTATAAAAATTTCAAAACTACTCTGTAAAATTATTTTCTCTGAAGCATTATTAATCATTAGATTAAAAAATCTTTTAATCAAAAGATCCACAAGGTCAGTATTGTGCAATTTTTCAAAACGTTAAAATTTCCTTATTTATTAAAATACTTTCGAGAGAGTGGAAGAATCACAAGTTTGAAAATACCATCCTCTCCGCCCACCACATGATTCGTTACCTTTAAAATTTTGTTGTTTCATTAGAAGTGTTATTCGAAAAATAGATTGATACTTGCCTCATCAATACAAATCACAGCAATTATGTTTGAAATCTTTGAAATATAAAAAGAGCTCATGCATGACCCTTGTCTAGCTCATTCAAAAGTTATTTATTTTTTTCTCTGAACCCGTGATTCTGTCTCCTCGTTGCGCTGTTTTACTCAGAAAAAAGTAGTACTTATTAAACATTTATAGACATGGAAATAAATGAGAGAAGGAAATGATTTATACCCAACAATTACACACGGACCAACAGTATGTGGAAAAACCTGTCAGACATCTATTAAATCAAAGCCAAAAGCTTACACTACATGTACGATGTACGATAAAAAAATAAAGGTGAAATAAACAATTTGTAACTAAAAAGTGAATACAGCATGTGAAAAGATAAGAGTAACTAACATAAATGACACCCGGCAAAATTACAGTTCGTCCGCCATTTAATGTTAATTGACGTGTGAAGAAAGTTAATTTTTATTAAGTGTCATATAATATCAACGACTCCTGTCCTTGCTGTAGAAGGACATTAAATTAGTAGTATCACATTTTTTATTATTGATAGCGATAACACTGTAGAGATTTAGAAGAAATCAGCACAATGATATAAAAGAGGAGGTTTTAACTACATTTGAGATTGATTTAAGTGAAAAAATAAATACCAAACCTTCTCTTCTCACTTAATTATATAAATATAAAGATTAAATTATCATTTTATAATGTTAATATGTTGCATTGATAGAGTGAGTTTTCTTTTCTATTCTTACCTTTTTTTAGAAAAAAAAGTAAATATTGTAAATCTTTCTAATATTTTTTAAAAGTGTTAAAATTAAAGATAAATAACTAAAAATAATAAATTTTTATTAAAAAATAAAGTATTTATTTATTGATATTTTAAAAGGTTAAGATTAACAAAATTTATATTTTTTAACTCCTCGCTTCTTGTCTTACCAAAAATAAATAATAAATAGAGACACTGGAAATTGTATTTTCTCTCAATATTTTTTTTCTTTACAGTTTCTGGCATTCCAAACAATGGGTTGATTGTATGCATTTTAATTATACGCTAAGTATATTAATTAATTAATTAGAACCTACATATCATAATGTTCTATCTCTAAGGTGCAAGAGTTCTATTTCTAAATTAATTATTATATTTTTCATACTTGTATTTGTTTACATTGATTTTTAACCCTTTTTTATTACATTATCTGGTATATTTATTTTTCTTTATCCTTTTTTTTTTACCTATTTCAAATTCTAAAATATGTGTAACTTTTTTTTTAAAATATTGACAAACATGCCAACACCAAAAATAAAAGATAAAAATGAGTTTATATCCCACTTAACTATACATCTATACCGATAAATAAATAAATAAATGCAGTAAATAATGTTACACTAAAGAAAGAGAAATATATATATAGGCGTGGAGACATTAAAATTAAAAGAGATAGAGAGAGAAATATGTCTTCTTTAAATTTTAAATATGTTTACGTCCAATTTAACTTTTACTTGGTAATAAGTCTTTTATGTAGCTTGTAAATTTCACAACAAAATTAGAAAAAATATATTTAAAATAGTACATAAAATTGTACAAATTTTGTAATATCTTAAATTCAATTTTAATTTGTATAAAATTTATATACATAAAAAAGAAATAAAATTATCTTATATTATTAACTACACCACAGATACTGTTTGAAATAAAATTTTACCGTCCATTCTCATATCAACAACAAAAAAATTGCATGACTTTATTATAAGTAGAACACTCCATCTCTTCTCACAACATAAATTTCACAGTACATAATATATGTAGCATTACATAGTCACAAATTCTCTCAAGACTTCACTTGAAGAAAACGGGTGGGATTTAATCTTGCAACTGGAATACCAATAAGATCATTAGCCCTAGGAGCAGTTAATCCTGGTCGTTCATCCATAGTTATTTTACTTTTGCCATGCTCTAAGATTTGACCTCGGGAATCAAGCATCTTCCACTCAAAGCATTGTATAAGAGCTCCAATGATAGTGGGCAATTCCCTCGCGGCCAAAGGCATGCCAGGGCAACCTCTTCTTCCACTACCAAATGGCAACAACTCAAAGTGTTGCCCTTTGATATCTATGTCATTTGCTTCAATTTCTAAAAACCTCTCTGGCCTGAACTCTAATGGGTTTTTCCAAATCTTTGGGTCCCTCCCCATTGCCCAAATGTTTACACATACTAGTGAGCCTTTTGGAATTATATTCCCATTAACTACACAATCTTCAACTCCTTTCCTCATAATCATCGGTATTGGTGGATGAAGCCTCATTGTTTCTTTTATGATTGCATGGATATAAGGTAAGTTTGGACTATCTGCTTCACACACCAATCGTTCATTTCCAGTGACTTTGTCCACCTCTTCTTGGGCTTTCTTCAGCACCTTTGGATTGTTGAACAATTCTGCTATTGTCCATTCTACTGATATGGCAGTTGTGTCAGTAGCTGCTGTAAAATAATCCTGAAAATTATAATTAATAAATAAAATGTTAAACGAATTTATTCTCTTATGAGAAAAACATGTAATCAATTAAATAAAATAATAATAATAATAATAATATAATGTAGGCTAGTATGTAGTGCTAATCGTCTCATTCAAGAGTATGACAACTTTTATTGTTATATTAAATAATTTAATATTTTTAGGCTCTAATTTTTACACTGTTATATATATATATATATATATATATATATATATATATATAATCTGTTTTGCCCTATTGTATTATTTAGTACATATATTATTACATTTCCTTTTTCTAAATTTATCATTAAATAATTGAAGATTAATATCATATATAATATTATATACAATTACTTTTATCTTCTTTTATAGCGTACGTATCAAAAACACATATCAACTATAAAAAAAAAGCACCTAACAATATTTATCAAAATTATATATATATATATATTATAAGTTATTCTCTCTTTTCCTTAAAAGGTTGCATATACCTCATAACAGTGTCAACCTATTTTTTCTGGTAACAAAACTATCCTGATATTATTATTTAACAATATATCTTTTTCATGTACTCATCATGGTTTATACTTATACCCTCCTTCATCTTTCTCTTCCTTTCTCATCATATATATTTTTATTTTCAGATCATATTATCAAATTTGGGTATATATACTTGGATCTTCTCAATCAGTCAATCATCTGCACCAAAAATCTCGACCATTAGGTGTACAATTGATAGTTATAAAATTTTATAATAATTTACGATTCACCAATCTCATTTCTTCCAATGTTGAATATAATTTTATCTGTCTTATTAATTTTCTTTAATTTTAAGATTAAATTTAAATATATATTAATAGGGATTTTTATTAAAAATATATTTTACTATACTCTTTAGATCTTTAATATAGTAAATATTTTTTTAACATAGTAAATATTTAATATTTTTAAATAAAAAATATTATATCAAAGTTAACAAAATCTTTATGTAATGTTGGTTAGCTTTTTTATGAGGATTCAAATTTGGGATATAACCCTAGGGTATTGAATGATTATTATTCATTATAATAAATAATAATCTCTATACAGAGCGTAAGGATAAAAACATACGTACCAAGATCAATGATTTGATATGGTTCCTAGTCAACGTGACCTCACAATCTTTTTCCTCACCAACATCAAGCAAAATGTCAAGAAAATCCTTCAATTTCTCTTCACTGCCATCTCCATTTGTACCTTGTGCTTTCTTTCTTGATTCCTCGCGATCAGAGATGAACTTCTCCAACAAAGCATCGTACCTCCTATGTATGTCCGTTGCCCTCTTCATAAAACCTTGCAAGTCTAACTTTTTAAAGAACCCTATGAAATCTGACACATTAAATTCTCCGACAATTTGTGTGGCCTCACGAACCAAAGCCCTTGCTTGTTCTGCTTCACCGTCTGTTCCCGAGCTCTTTATACTCAACATCATTTGCGATATTATGTTGTTTGAAAGTCTCAACAATGCATCGGTGAGATTCACGCTCTCATTGGCCTTTGATTTGTGCGCAAGAATTTGAATGAATTCGTGGAGTTCCCGAGTTCGAATAGGTAGAAACTGTGCCATGGTTCGGTTACCCAATAGCTCAGTGGTGCTTAGCTTTTTTATGAATTTCCAGTAAGTGTCATAAGGAGCGAAAGCAAACGTGGCATTATCGTAGGTAATCATGTTGATGACCATACTCATTTTTCGTGAAGAAAATGTGAGTTCGTGGGTTTTGAGAAACTCTTTGGCAAGTTCTGGGGTGCTTGCAATGACGAATCGAACAGAACCAAGTTGAAGGCTTATAAGAGGGCCATATCGGAGAGAGAGGTCTCGGAAAGCTTGATGGATAAGGGGTTTAAGGAGATGGAGATGTCCAATTATTGGTATTGCTGGTGGGCTTGGAGGGTACTTCAATTTGGGTTTTGATTTGTTTTTTCTCCCAAAGAAAAGAAATTGGAGAAGGAAAATAGAGAGTATCAAAATGAGAACCAGTGTGAGGAACTCAGAAATCATCTTGGTAGCTTAATTGGGAAAGGGAAATGAAATGGAAATATAAATAGAAAGGATAATTATGACTTAGGCGTTGGACATGGTTTATTTTGACGCTACTACCATGCTTTTTATAATAATAAGTACATGCGCAATGCAAAGTTGTTAAGGCTCAAGTTAAATACAACTTGTGATTGTTAAATAGTTCAACGTTGTTGATACATATATTTTATTTTCCCTCACGTCACATTATACATAACATGTTTATTTTATTCAGTTCTTACGTTCCTAAATATAAATACCCCAAAGAATATATGTCAAATGCGAGCATATTACATATTATGCGTCAACTTACACTGATTGGCACGTGCAAGGAGTTTCTAAATTGAAGTTGTTATTTTGAAGATTTCAACAAAAGGTGTAATTTTTTAGTTTATCAAAATATTATAAAATTAATTTATTAAAAATTATGTAAGTTACCCATTCTATTGCTTTCACGTGTACGGCTTTTACTTTCTCGTGATTGTGGAAGCAATGTCTGCAATATTTCAACGCTAAAACATCCATCTATGGTGTGTCACTCATTTAACTCCCCTTATCTCTCCTTATAACATTTCATCATTCATCACATCTGTTATTTCTCTCTTTTCTATTCCTATCTTTCTCAACGCGTTGACATGGTTGACCCAATAAGAAATAAAAATTCACAGTGTAGAGACAAACATAAACATTTTTTCAAATAAGCTGGGGGAATTTATGGGCATGTTACTCTAATTATCGGGACCCCATTCTTCTGTGGTACCATTTTTCCGTTGTGAATTTAATTCCTATCTTTGTCGTTTGTAGGGTAGTAGTTTTTTTTAATGGATTAAAATCTCTGCGGAAATTAACCAGGCTGAAATTATTGTTGTTTCAGGCTTTTGATAGCGCCACATCATGTTGTTCCATGCATTTATTATGAATATGACTGCTCTGACGGTTGATAATTAAATTAGATGTCATCTTTTTAACTCAATCTACCATTATACTTCAAGATACATTCATTTTATTTTACGGTTAAGATGATTTATTACAACATCCTTTTTTTTTTTTATCAGAATCAATGCATAATAGAAATATATTAAGAAATTTGTATCTTCTGCTGGTCGCATTAGCGATCTTACATGCGTTGGTTATGACTAAATTTGCTGATGCTGATTAAAACTTAAATATTCTATTGAAATATTTTTTACATTTAATGATTGTTTGATTTGAGAGAAAATAAAAAGGAAACTGTGTTCAGAAAAAATGAGACCTCATCGTTTTTCTTTTATTTATCACTTTATTAAAAAATAGAAGAGGAAACTGATTTTTCTTTTCATTCTTCTTCTCTCCACATTGAAGCATGAGAATTGACCTATTAAGAGTGAGAATAGGAGATAATTATCTGAAATGGACGACGTATCATGTTTTTCGACCGCATATCCAACAACACGCTTTCATCGCGTCGTGGCATTCGGACAGCCCCGTACGGCGTGCAGATGTCACAGTTTTATCATTATTTCAAACAACCTAAATCTTTAATAGCCTGTAACAATTTCAAATTTTGTTAAAAAAATTGAAGAACGATATTTAAAATTGAGAAATTCAATTGAATTAAGAAAGTACTTTAAATATATGATCAGGAATATCTAAAACAATTAAATTTCAAAGAAATAAATAATAAAAATTAAAAATATGAGAATAACATTCAGTAAATTTTGTGTCGTTAAAATGTATAAATAATAATAGATACGAAAGATTAGTTGTCAGTGGAAAGGTAACCAGAGGTTAATCTTGTTAGTCCTACAAAATTTAGGTACCCTAGTTTCCAAGGATTTTTATTTTGATTTAAGCTTTTTATTTTTTTTCTATGATTTTTTTTACTATAAAAGTTTTATTTTAGTAATTTATGATAGTATGGAATATTTATTTTTCAGTAAAATAAAATTTTAATTTTAGTTAAACAATAATATTAAATAAAAAAAATAAAAACCATACCTAAATTTTATACAATCCTGTTTCTGATCCCAGCCTTCAAATAAGCATATCTTGTCATTTTTAAAGGCTGCTAATGTCTCATCCGTTACTTCTTTAAACGTAAGTGTGTGTTTAACCGGTTTGAGGCTAATCATAGCCCTACGTTTGTATTTATATTGTCACTTATGATTTGCGGCCAGCATTTTTCTTTATCGTTTTCCATGGCCACATGTCCACGACCTGGACCTAACTAATTAATGCGAATTTCCCTTCAAAATTGCACAAAATACACACCCATCACCTTCAACGGGAGAAAATGATTTTTTTTTCACACTTCTAAAATGATGTGTGAAATATGTGGACGGAAAAAATATATATAAAAGGTATGATAAAAAAGTAAAAAGGAAAAATAAGTATAAAAATATGAGTATGAAAATACAAGTCAATAGGGATGTCCTTTCCCGTTAGTATTACACTTTCAAGACAACCCATAATGCTGTAAAACTTTTATAGTTTACTAATTGTGCATCAGGGCCATCTACTGTACCTTAAACATTGCCACCGATACTATAGCACCCTATACAAATGGGAGAATATCATGTCTGTGCCATCTTTGGAATGGATTTAGAATGAATGCAGGAAGAGAGAGATAGCAAAAAAAAAAAACAAACAAAAGTGACAAATAATGTAATAGAAACAAACAAATAAATGCATATATATATATATATATATATATATATATATAAATGTTCGTGTAAATTAATGTCGGTTTGTGCATTCTATATCTGAAAATTCAGTCGTCATTTTGTTTTGTTGGACGCTGATAATTATAAGCAAATATAATTATATTTCTATGATACTTTTTTTTATCTCTTTTTAATATTTTTATTATATTATATAATTAATTATGTTGCTTATTTGTTTCTTGTATTTTCATTTATTTTTTATTTTATTAAGAAAATAGAATGTATGACATTGTTCAAACAAAACATAACAAAAATGCTGGCAATGCTATGTTACGAGAACAACAACGTACTACACCAATAATTGAAGAATGCCAACAACCACAGATCAGCATTTATGGACATGGTCCCGTGTTTGCTGAAGTAACCCAGCTTATATATGAAAAATAAATATAAATTTTATTTTAACTTTTTATTTGAATTGTAATTCTTGAGGATCCAAGTTAAGAATTATATATATATATAATAACTGTTTTTTTTCTTTAACTTTTCAATTAAGATTTGGCTTCAAACTGAATTTTTAATTCTAACGGGATAATTGGAACCAGGACCCAGTTATCGAAGGCTTAATCTCCAGGACATTTTCATGGGTACGATAAAATCCTAAGGAAAAAAAGATGTAGACATTCAACTTGATAACTCATCTAACTTTAAAAGTTAATTGGACATATTGCATTTATATTATATTCGGATCGTCCTTTCAGTTGTTTTATTTCAGCTCACTATTATAATATATTTTATTTTTAATAACGATAGTTAATAATAAAATTTCTTGAATTCATATTTTTCTTTTATTATTAGTAATAAAATACCAGATTTCTTTATTCGTATCACACATTTTGATTAATAAGATAGTATTATTGTCTTGGAAAAAATTATTTTAAAACAAGTATTCGAAAACATTCCTTAATTTTAAAATTTTATCACTAAAACGTACATAATATTTAAATTTATGCATTTCACCAAAATATATTAGCTCGTGTCCTGATTGATCAGATCATTAGTCTGTCGGGTCAATGATAAAATATATTTTCTAATTTGTGTAATATTATATAAGATAAAAATTATATATTATTTATTTTATTAAAAATACAGAATTTAAAGCAATTAAGTGCTGATATATGATTTTTTATTCATGTAATGTTGCAAATATTGTTGATATTACAATATACTTTAAGCTAAACTTAAAAATTACAGTTTTTGTGGTTAACTTCAATTTAGAGACTCCTTGCACGTATCTATTAACGTTGACAATAATCTGCATGGTTAACATTTTTCAATGTTGAGTATAAATATTTCCAACAAAGTTGCTACGAAATAGCGACACTAATTTCTAATCAACATAAGGCTCTCAAATAGGAAATGCAAGTTCACACTACTATAAAAAGCAATTGTTAGTAACCGCAAAATTAAACCATATTTAGGCAAACAACAAAGATGATTTATGAGTCCCTCACACTAGTTTTCATTCTAATCCTCTGTGTTTTCCTTCTCCACTTCATTTTCTTTGAGAGAAAAAATAAATCAAAGCCCAAATTGAAGTACCCTCCAAGCCCACAAGCAATACCAGTAATTGGGCATCTCCATCTGCTTAAACCTCTCATCCATTATTTCACAAGAATGTCAATATTAATTCAATTATGCTTCTGAACATTCAAAAACTTAGTTAATTGACAATCAGTTTCGCATATTAATAGTTAAAGGTTAATCCCTTAACTCATTAACCCTAACAAACAACTAAACCACCCTAATCCCTTAGGTGAAGTTCAATTTCAAGTTGCATTAAGACTTAGAACCTTAGGATTGCAGAATTAGGTCTCTTTATCCCTAAGAAATCCCCAAATTCTGATTGCTAATTCAGATTAGAAAAGTAAATCCAACTTCCATTGGTAATTGTTCCTCTTTGATGAATCATATGAATTTCCATTCATAGAGTGCAATAACAACAAAATTCACAATTCAATTAATCCAAGAACTCAAAATTCAGAAGCAAGAGTTAAATCAATACATCAATTCGAGTTTTATAAACTCCTAACTACAAAGAATTAAGCAAACATTGAAACAAAGAAAGAGAAAGAAGGAGAAGAAGAGAAGAAGTGCAGAGAAACCATCTCCACGAGCTCCAATCCAATGCCTCTTCTTGGAGCTTCGAAATTCGACCCCACTACTCTCTCTCACTCTCTTCCAACGAGAATCTAACAGAAAAAATGGAAAATGAACAAAAGATTCCCAGTTTTGAGCTTAAGACATGTATTTATAGAAATTCTGATTCTATGCGTTGTCACTTTGTTTCATAAAAGTGACCACACAGAGGCTTATTCTATTTCTGGGAGACTGGAGCATTCACTTTTGTTGATAAGAGTAGCAACGCAAGAGGTCGAGGAGTGCGCGTGATCACTTTCGAGAGCAAGA